GTGACCGCAACACGGGGAAATCCGACCGTGAGAGAACTTGGCTGTCCGGTCTGCTCTTGGGCTCTGCCATGGTTGCCCGTGGTGAAATTGGCCTATTGATTATTGAAATAGGCTATAACAATACGTCTTATGTAACCCAGGAGGGCCTCATCACGGGTGTATGGGCCATACTTCTTAATACGATTATCGGTCCAGTCATTGTCGGTCTGCTCGTCAAGTACTATGGCAAGCGGATAGCGGAGGGGCAATGGGGATTGCAAAACCACCCGGTGCCTAGCCTGGGACACTAGGCGAACAAGGATAAAAGTACAAAACAATGATCATCTCTAAAATTTGTTATGGTTTGTTTGATGATGTCTCGCTACGCTATGGATGGTCTGCTAGAAGTTAAAAGTGTATTCGGTTCTTGTTGGATCTTTATGTTTCTGTTGGTAACGTACTTGGAAGCGAGCCGCACCTGTAAGCCAGCCGCACCCCTCTGATTTCCATAGAAAATCGTCTCGTCTATTTTCAAACAACAATATCTCAACCAATCCAGCTTCTATCTGCTTGAAGGTTTATATATAGCTTAATATATACCGGAGTAATAATATACTAAATTAAGAGATCCTTTTAACTTTTAGTTACTAGATAAAGATACATTATAGCATATATTATAGTATATGGTCAGGATTTATATGTTCTCAGGCATCTTTTTTATTTATACTCAATTTACGTATAAAGAGTACCGATATTAATAAGATACTCTGATTTCGAACTAATATATTTAATAAAAGTTGAGATATTGTTGTTTGAAAATAGACGTTTTTCTATGGAAATCAGAGGGGTGCGGCTGGCTTACAGGTGTGGCTCGCTTTCCGAGTACGTTATCTGTAGCTGATTAATTTGGTAAGACCGACCAGCATATTCGCCAGTCTCGTCTCTAGTGGACTGAAATTGAGAGACCATGAATAGAGGCATTCAATATTCGCTTCCATCAGCTCATAGTTAACGAAACTTCTTTATTTATAAACATTGCAAGTACACAGGCTGAACAGGCTCCGACATTTGTTTGCCACATTAAGGTGATACAGTCCCTCATTGACATCCAATAATTTGCGGAACTTTTGCTGAATATCATTTCCGTGGATCGTTGCCTTACTAGGCAGCAGTTTTACTGGAAACCGCACCCCCCAGTCTCGAGCGGAGTCATAGGAGTCAGCTTGGCTCTGACCCCTGTTGTGGTTAGTCCATACTCTCGAACGAAAACATCCTCCTAGCCGCAACCACAGCTTAATCCATAATCCTACTACATATTAAATTCTCTCTGTTAACTGTAGCCTGCCTATATAAAAGTTTCATCCCTGGATGTTTGAGCTTATATAAACAGTATTGCTCGCTTCTGAGATAATTTCTTTCGTTTTGTCAACCGATGCTTATTAACGGGGACAAAAGGGCTTGCGAACCCTGTATCCGCGGCCACCGCGTCACGTCGTGCAATCATCGTGGTATGCTCAAGTCTGAATCAGATGACGTTTAGGCAATACTAAAAGATCCAGACCGCCCACTCTTGCGCATTAATAGAAAAGGCCGCCCCCCCTTAACCTGCTCGAAATGCAATAGTACGACTTGTGCAAGGCCAGAAGAGCACACTAAATACAGAACTGCTTCAAAAGTAGACGTGCACCAAATATACCCCAATAGGCCCACCATATCAAAACACCGCACCTTCAGAGGGCAAAGAAATACTTATCAACAAAACATGGTCAGAACCTCACAATCCTCAGTGCTATACTAATGATGGGTTCTCCTGTCTCCTTCATAGAAATCTGCTACGCGATTGTTTCGCCGAAGTACCACTTCCTTCGTCCCGATCGCACCACGCCCAGCTTCCACGACAGCCCCAGTCTATGTTCAAGACCATACTGGCCATTATGCCGCGCCTAACGGCTCCGCAAGGCTGACCGCATCGAAGGAATCAACATCCGTAACTTCCTCTACATGGGCAGACCGTCACGACACATCTTACCAACAACCGCACTTCCAGCGGGTTGACTCCACGATCGACCCTAAACAGAACCAAAACGAACTTCCATGTGCTCCAATGTTCTTACCACATCCTGCACTCTCGATGTATGGTTTTAGTTCAGCTCCCGCCACGCCATTAAGTGTAACGAGTGCGGAATTCCTGGGTTCCAGAACGGTAGGAGGATTGCATTCACGCACTTCTTCAGTTGGCTGTCTGAACTCTCACGAATGAAGTTGGTTGGCTTTTGCTGGCTGGCGGTTCAGTTTAGCCCTCTAGAACATCGGCTTACGTATCGTTGGGATCCCCGGGGTAACAGCATACTCCTGACCAGTCAAGTCTGGGTTGTCTCGAAAGTAGAACTGAGCTATGAAAACTTCAATATCACATGAGTCATATGACTGTTGTATTTTATTCCCCACTCTAGTATGTACTTCGTGCGTTCGGCGTACCGAGAATTGACAATCACCTTACATCATCCAATATTGAATGCATACTATTAGTAGAGTTCAGAGTTCAGTTGGATGCTCGTGTAAGTGGGGTAGGTTTATCGCCAAGAACTGCCCGGGTTGCAATTTTGCCGATGCACTTTTGGGGGGGGGGTTGGGGGGGAGGGGGGGGGGCGGCATTTACCTTTTATATGGTTTCTTTGGCCTTCTGTTTTCATCACTCCATGCAAAAAAATTCTCATACGCTCGATTTATAATTTGCGTGTCTAAGGTACTGATTCTGTTGCAACCTCGACCAACATACATTTCGATCTTGTATCAAGTCTGTTCTCTTCCCCCGCAGCCTGACTGCTTTAACTGCACATCAGCAAGGCTCGGCTGCCCTCCACCCAAATGATATTTCGCCTTGCGTACTACCGTGAATTCTTGGAATGCCGGGGTGTCTTCAGCCCATTTCACAGCTATACGCGATCTTACTTGAAGCCCTGACATTTAAACGGGAATCTAATAGCGATCCCAGCCAAGCACTGCTGACCCAAGATCCAATCATTCAGGAGGTACTGGAGCTAACTGAAGGTGAGATTTCAATGGCAAAGGACCCGAGCCGGAGGAAAGCTCCTCGGAAAAAGCGATTTGCACAGACTAATGGGGAACATTATCATCACTTGGATGCCCTAAACTTCAGGAAGTCCCTTTCGCAATGGGACAGGGTCAGAGGTTGGCTATGTCCTGGTAGGAACACCCAGCGGCGACAAACTGAAGTGGAGCATTGGATGGGGAATGTTGGGAATGGAGAACATATTTGGGGTAATAGTGCAGGGATCATAGCCCAAAAATATGGGGAGATCTGCAGAATCACGGGCTCTGGTGCCTTCGGAGTGGTCCTGCTCTTGCATAAGACACGGAATTGTAACCCCCCCATTGACCGCTACTATGCCTTGAAGGTCTTTCGTCACAGACCCGGTCAACCGTTGGCTGAGTATCAAAAGCGAGTGAGGGCGGAATTCTCGATTGCTTCCTCGTTACAGCACCGGAATATTATACAAGCGTTCGAACTTCTCTCTGTTGGTACTGATAACCTGTGTGAATGTATGGAGTATTGTTCCGGTGGGGATTTATATTCCCTCCTGGTTATCTCTGGCCCCTTAGAGACGGCGGAGGCAGATTGCTTCTTCAAGCAGCTACTCCGCGGTATCTGCTACATGCACGAAATGGGTGTCGCCCACCGTGATCTGAAGCCGGAGAATCTTCTCCTAAGTCAGCGTGGCTGTTTGAAAATTTCTGACTTCGGTAACGCGGAATGTTTTCGCTTCTCGTGGGAAACTCAAGTGCACATGTCGAGGCAGCGTTGCGGCACCGGGCCATATATTTCTCCCGAACAATACCATGAGGAAGAGTTTGATCCTCGATCCGTTGATATCTGGTCGGCGGGTATTGTATATGTAGCTATGAGAACAGGAAGGAATCCCTGGAAGACCGCAAATGAGGCAGATGAATGCTTTAGAGACTATCTCGAAGACCGCCGGGCAGGTCGGGGGTACTTCTTGATTGAAGATATAGGCCATGTCAGGTTATCCACCACCCCTTCCGTGATATCCCCAGACCGTTAATTCTACCGATACAGGACCGAAGCCGGGAAGTTCTATACTCTATGCTAGATTTTAATCCGCTGCGCCGGCCCACAGCAGCCGCGATCCTTAGAACTCATTGGGTAAAGCAAATCGCTTGTTGTGAAGCTGCTAGCTCAGGACTCCACGAGCAGCTGCCTGGCCCGGGGACTTCACAAGCCACCGAAGAGCTTTCCAGGGTAGTATAGTTTTGCGCTGCCGAGAGAAGTGATTTTATACCAGTCAGGAAGGGTGTGAGGGACCACCTTCCGGGTAGAATGCAGGGCACTTGAGGACTTGGTAGGTATTTTTATTGGAAAGACGCGTGGGGGAATTAACTGCACATTGTGATATCTCGTATAAGCTGCCGTGTCATGCTACTTTTGAAAAGCTCATAGTCAGGTGGGCAGTTAATACGAAATATTACGAGAGACTTTAGCGTGGGTAGCGGGGAATACCATTACAATTTGGAAACCTGGTCCTCCAACACTTGTCCTATGATGAGAGAACGTCGGGTATATTGGTTTAGTGTGTACATGACTTCCAGAGGCGTCTTCGCGCATGTTCGCTTTCCCCATTTGAAGTAACTGTAGATTGGATCAACTTCGATTTTCCGGGCGTTCCACTGTTGTAAATGAGAGCTAGAATGGCTTTGTAGAGATTTCGGAAGCTCGTAAATCATGCCAAGATGGGTAAGGAAAGTTTGCCCTATCCGTTGCGGGACGCGCGGTTACATGTGGCCTACGAGTGCAGGTATCTTGTTGCCTATCTTTCACCGAGACGGAAACAGCAGAAAGCAGAGCGTATTGTAAACACCCCTGTCCAGTGTTTACGAGCATAATCTTTTCACACGGAAGTTGAACTTTGGCAACTTCTGCACAAATCGGAGCAAAGAAAATGGCACGGGGTGAAAAGACCAGAATGCTAGGTCCATACCGCCTCGGCGGATTGGACACCATAAATCCCGCACCCGATTCCGTCCATGGTCATCTTGCGAGTATTTGAAAGACAGTTACTGCCGTGGGTGGCCTTGAAACCCCCTTGCATATACACACCCGACCAAGTACAGCGTGCGTGCGTCTTTGCCAGCATTCTTGCTCTAGTGAGCTATGTGGAAGCCGCACCTTAACTTTATCACGTTGCATTGTATTTTCAAGATATACGGCCAGCAAAGAAAATTCACTTGCTAACTTCATCGAACCAGATGCATATATCATATTCCTCAGCGTCTTAGCCTTGATCATTGTCTATCCACAGGGCAATTTGAGAGCGGTTGATGCCTACTTCTTTGGAGCCAGCGCTTCAACCGAGTCTGGGCTCAATACGTTCGTATCTCGCTTTCCCAAGCGCTATGCAGCGATCTGACTGACCCCTTGCAGCATCGATGTGAAGGAACTGAAAACATATCAACAGGTGTATTTATACCTAATACCTATTCTCGGCAACCTTGGGTTTGTTAACATCCTGGTTGTTCTTGTTCGATTGCGCTGGTTCAAAAGGCGTTTTGAGACTGTCGGTAAGACCCCATCTTGTTGCAAGTTGCAAGCTGTGTTCACTGACTGAAACCGATCGTATTGAAATCAATGCAGCACCCAACGTCCTGGGATCCAAGCCGCAAAATGTAGTCAATGACCCTAACCTAGAAGAGAAAACCTTCGGTGACCGACAAGACATGGTCAAGAGCCATAAGTCAGAACAACCTATTGATTCGGATGGACAAGGCAGCAGACGGCCTGTGTTGCCCTCGCAGGGCCGCACCCCAGTCTTAGATACGTAAGTAGAGTTATGACAGACACCCTTTCTTACCGAGGCCTTTTTCTAACGGAACTTGTCTACCTTGGCAATAGATCCCTAGATAATGTACAGGAGGGCCAACAGGTCAATGTGACCACTGTCAAGTCGTTACGTGCGGCTACTGTATCTTTTACAGAGGGTGTGAACACAGATAAAAAAGCTCTGTACATCCCCCCTCCCTGGGCGAGGGATAGAGGTATTTTACAATTGGGGATTAACCTGTCTATACAAGGTCACTGACAGATATCCTCGTTCTGCAGGTTGCCCTATACTTGAAGTTGACAACAGTGAATCGGGTGACCCAGGTAAGTGACGCTGTTCTTGGTAGGCATATTGGCTATCTAATATTGGTTTTTGATTGCGTAGATCTCGACAGAGCCAAATCCAGCGCGGCAGATTCCATAGGCTTGGACTCCTCTCGCCGACATATGAAACACAGATTTTCTTCTACAACCACCTCGTTGGAACGCATTGCTTCTAGGATAATCACCATGGATCCAACTCTGAGTCACTGTCGACCGGCTCCGCCCTTATCGCGTATGCCGCTCTCGAAGGATTTAGCTCTTCCCAACCTCTCTTCCAACGCGACTGTGGGTCGGAACTCACAGTTCCACAACTTGACCGAAAGGGATAGAGAGTTATTGGGGGGAATTGAATACCGTAGCTTGAAGCTGCTGCTTAAGATTGTTACAGGTAAGATATTTCTTCTTATAAAAAGTATAGATCTGGAATGACACACCGCTAGCTTATTTTTTCGGTCTCCATCTATTCGGCGCCATTTGCCTTGTGGCTTGGATCCAGCACGCTGATCCCAAATATCGGCAATATCTCGAAGAATGTGGACAGGGTAATGTGTGGTGGTAAGTGAAAGTAGGACTGAAATACGGTTGGCCTGCTTACGCGTTTCGTTCCTTACAGGGGATTCTATTCGGCGCAGACTATGGTAAACAACCTTGGATTTACACTCACTCCCGACTCGATGATATCTTTTCGTGAGGCTACATTCCCAATGATCCTCATGAGCTTCCTCGCTTACGCCGGAAATACATGTTATCCCTGTATGCTTCGACTTGTGATTTGGTTGATGCTCAAGCTCTGTCCAAAACAATGGTCGGTGAATGAGCCACTGACCTTTTTACTGAAGCATCCCCGTCGATGCTACACGCTTCTTTTTCCGAGTCGGCCGACCTGGGCTCTCTTCGGTATCTTGTTTGCTATGAACTTTGTGGACATTCTCTTGATTTTAGTCCTCGACCTTAATAATCCCGAAGTTAACAGTCTTGCGACTGGTCCTCGGATACTAGCTGCAATATTCCAAGCGGCTTCTTCACGGCATACCGGAACATCGACCTTTAACTTAGCGGATGTAAATCCAGCAGTCCAATTCAGCTTGGTAGTGATGATGTATGTTGCAGTTTTTCCCATCGCAATAAGCGTCCGGGCGTCGAACACATATGAAGAAAGTTCCTTGGGTTTGTATCCTTTCGAGGTTGAAATCGATGAGAGGACTGGTAGATCCTATATTATGACTCATATTCGCAACCAGCTCACGTTCGATTTATGGTATATCTTCTTGGGAATATTCTGCATTTGTATTGCCGAGGCTGATAAGATCTCGGATACATCGATTCCAGTTGGGACCCTCTTCCCCTTCTCTGTCGGGATATAAGCTAACTAGCTCTAGGCTTTTGCTGTTTTTCCAGTTCTTTTTGAGGTAGTATCCGCCTAGTACGTATTACCCCCTCCTCCCTTTAGAAATTGCATTCTAATTCCTTCACAGTGGCAATGTGGGGCTTAGTCTAGGTTATCCAACAGTCAACACGTCACTGAGCGGACAGTTTACCACATTTAGCAAACTTGTGATATGTGCAATGATGATACGAGGCCGTCATAGAATGCTACCGTACGAGCTAGATCGTGCTATACTACTTCCAAATGAGCGGCTCTCGAAAGATGACAGAGACGAGATATATCATTGGCCAGAAGTTGCGGGACCAGTGAAACTCACTCGCTATCATACCAGCTAGGATTCGCTGAGATTATATTCAGGCTTTTTCTAGCGTAGGGGTTTCTCTTATACGGAGAAGCAACAGGGTGTTTTAAAACTAGATGGGTGTCCTAAGCGAGATGCACTTCGCCCGTTTATACGAGAAACTAAACATAATATACAAAGTGCCAGAGGGATTCAATAAGAAATCCTCTGTCTTCATTATATTAACTGGAATATATGATATTCCCACCACCAGCGGACCCAAGCCAGAGCCCGCTGAAGCGGCTAATCTTTCTTCACTTTCAAAAAGACTGTGATGCTATCCCACTTAATGACACTTAGGCGTACCTTCGTCACAAGTTTCTGCATTGAAACGTAATAATGCTAAGACTAACTCAGTGTGTCTTACTTAACTTGTATCCTATCATACAAGGGCACCATTTCTTGCCAAGTGGGTAATTCGTACTCTGTAAAGTAATCAGGGAAACTAACCTGCCCCTATTTCAGGACTTTACTAACCTGAAAAGGAGGCCGAATGTTCATGGCCAATTAGGCTTCAGCAGTGACATCTACAATGCCAAGATTCTAGCTGAAAGCAGCTGAACATCCATCCTTGGCAAGCATGAGGACCATGATCGACTCCGTATTGGACAAACGTAAGAATTGAAACGAACCTTAAATTCTGCCCTGTTCCAATACTTATAATCTTGAATCACCCTGGATAATTTCACTCGATTATTATCTGTGAATATATGACTCTCGCTCCTTGATTCATGGGCGATTCAACATGCTCCTCCTCACTTGGTCGCGAATCGCCTCGTCCCTACGAGCACTGAATCAAAATTGGCGCAGTCATGCGGGAGCAACCAGCCCTTCACGCGCGGAAGGGTCACTATTCAGTCGTCTGAGCGAAGTCGTTCGGTATACATGGTACCTGGGATTCACATCGTTCGGGGGACCGCCTGTTCATTTCCAGATACTTCACACGCGGTTTGTCGAGAAAGAAAAGTGGGTCGATGAGCAGACGGTAGGCACTATTAATGTGAAATGTATATTTTGGGGCTAATGGGTGTAGTACCAAGAACTCTTCGCCATATGTCAGGGTCTTCCAGGACCAGGGTCAACAAAGATGTTGTTTTGCTTGGCTTTACTCCACGCAGGATTCATCCCTGCCTTGCTTGCATTTTTTCTCTGGTCGTATGCGTACACTTTAAATTCAGCTTCTGTAATGCAGGATAATGTACTTACTAATTCACTAGTCTCCCAGGCGCAGTTGGCATGTATGCACTCTCTCTCGCCGTGCAACGGATTGATGAGACACTTCCTGCTCCAGTCTACGCTCTTCTCTCCGGTCTGAACGCCTCAACCGTAGGCATCATTGCTCTTGCTGCTGTCCAGCTAGCTGAAAAGGCCATCCGTGATAAGATTTCCCGAATCCTGGTAATCTTTGGCGCATGTGCTGGCCTCTGTTACAGCGCGCTCTGGTATTTCCCTGTTCTTATGGTTGCTGGCGGTGTTGCTACTGCATTTTGGGATGGGCTTGTGTATCAGCAGATTTTGAGGGCGAAGAATGGGTGGAAAAATAGAAATCGCCAGCCCGAACCAGAAGGTGATGCTCCCGATTCAGCGGGCTTGGAGCATATGACTGTTAGAAATTTAGCTCGGGGGCCGGGGCTGGAGATGCTGCGGATGAGAAAACCTGAGGCAGGGGCTTTGTCGCAACAATTGAATAATACCCAGGCTTCAGGAGGAAGTGAAGAGCCCCCGTCACAAGATCATGCGATTCGTATTCGTGTTGGGATTGTGATTTTCGTTTTCTTCTTCAGTATGTCCCATTGTAGAATGATGCTGTTCGTGAGCTAATCAGGAACTCGCAGCCTCCTTTATCGCCATACTTGTCTCTAGAGCCAAAGTTTCACTACCCCCTTTGGCCCTCGATCTCTTCGCCAACATGTATCTCGCCGGCACTGTGATTTTTGGCGGGGGCCCAGTTGTCATCCCCTTGCTCCGTTCCTACGTTGTTGACCCAGGCTGGGTCTCCAGTCGAGACTTTTTAATTGGCCTCGCTATAATCCAGGCCTTCCCCGGACCAAATTTTAATTTTGCTGTTTTCCTCGGTGCACTCGCTCTTCGAAGCACATCCTACCCGACAGTCTTTGGTGCGTTCCTTGGTGGATTGGGAATATTCTTTCCTGGAATCGCCCTCGCTATCGCGATTCAGGCCTTCTGGCGTGTTCTACGGAAGCGAAAGTATGTTACTGATTTCCTCCGCGGTGTGAATGCGTCGGCAGTAGGATTGGTTTTTACGGCTGTGTACCGGCTTTGGGAAATAGGGTATTTGAGTCCGGGGGTACGCGATGGGCAAAGTCTGGCGAAAGAGCCGTGGTGGGTTGTTGTTGCCGCTGTTACTTATGCTGAGAGTGCGTGGTTCAAGGTTCCTCCTGCGTTCGCGATTTTGTTAGGTGCTATACTTGGGTTGTGTTGGTATGGAGTCGTTTCTCCTGCCTGGTGATGGATTGTGTGGTTATGCTGGAAAACTCCTCGGGAGCTGGGCATCAACTATATTCATCATCTTCGGGGAACCACTGCGGCAATGGTATGGATGACTCAATCAAATCTTGGTTTGTGGGCTCAGCAGAGGGCGATGGTGTCACTTAAAACTTTTATCACCCGTCCCTTGGGATTCTACCTCGAAGGATATAGACGAGCATCTAATGCCAATCCTTTTTTCGACGGAGTGCTGGACACTCAAAAACGGCGAAAGACATTGCACATGTAATAGAGAATCTTAGGCTGAAGGGAGATATAAGGCACCAGCTTCTGATTTCATGCTCGTGTTGATTATTTTGCTCTCAGGAGCCTAGCAATGGGGTAATACTGCCACATAACTCTCTGCTCTAGTATCGAGGTTTCTGTTGGATGCCTAGACTTATATTGAGCTGCAATTCCCTGCCAAGTGACCTGTCTGGGCCTTGGATAGTATGTCGCCTAGGTTGGTCAGACTCTGGACGTCTGACAGGGTTAATGGATCCACCTACCAACTGGTCTTTTGACAGGGACCAGGACCTGTTGATTGTGAACAAAAGTAGTCTACATGTTAAAATCCCTATTTGGACAAATTACGTATTGCCAACCTTTTGTAAGAGGGTAGGAGTGCCGTCGAAGTAGGAGTGCCGGCCATATGCGATGAAATACCAAAAAGTTAGCGCCTAGTTAGACAACCCGGCTCTCGTCAGCAATTTCGTATGAACTGGGCTTTCGTGTGGTTGTGTTTGTGAAATCATTGCGTGCTGCCCGGGGACAGTCTGCTTCTGCACCTGTTTAATTTCATTCCCGATGTTATCTTCACTTCAGTGGAAGGACCACACTGCGAATAATGAACAATGAGGCTCGTGAGGTAGGACAAGGGCATCTCTGACACTTTCTAATGCATTTCTGTTCTGGTGACATCGCCAAGCTTGTTTGGTTTGTTTGACAGGGGACGGCACAGATACGTGTATGATGACGTCGTGGCTTCTTCGGACCAGACTGTGTATGGTCAACTATCTGAAACAATGTGGTCATCCTGTTGACTATGGTAAACCCTTAATGATGCATACGCCAAAATTAGCTCATCATCTTTTCCACTCGAAGAAACGAATAAGGCTCAGCCACTTATAAAGAGATACGCGAAATCGGCACTCTCCATCCGGCAAGGCTCCCTGTGCGCCTTCTCCTCGATGATACCCTCAATGAGTTGGCGCTTTCTATCCTGGAAGTCGAGGATCCGATCCTCCACCGTGTTTGAAACCAGGATGCGGTGAACGTGCACCGGCCGTCGCTGTCCGATGCGATGGACGCGCCCCACCGCTTGGTCCTCGATGTACGGGTTCCAGAGCGGGTCCAGGATGATCACTTGCGAGGCGGCCGTGAGGTTCAGCCCTGAGTTGCCGGCCTTCATGGAGACCAGGAGAATCAGACAGTCGGGGTCGGTCGCGAAGTGGACGGTCGCCGCGTGCCGGTCGGCCGGCTTCATGGTGCCGTCGTAGCGCCGGAACGCCCAGCC